AGACCTTGTCACAAAAACACCCCCCCCCCACACACACACAGAGGCACACAGGCACACACACAGGCACGCACACAAATCACACCTAGCAGTTACTTTATTTGTAGAAAGAGATTTAAAAAATTTTAAACTACTAGAAAAACTATCAGAAGTGGTCAGGCATTTAAGGTGGATCAGCTGGGACTAGAGAGATAGCTTAGTGGTAAAAGGCACTTGCTGTATGATCATGAGGAGCAGAGTTCAGTTATTTAATAAGAGTTCACCCATGTAACAAGCCAGGTGTCCTGTGTAACTCTAGCTTTGGGTTGGGGGTACCAAAGACAGGATTGCTGGGGCTTGCTGGCTTCCAGTCTATTGGAAAACACAAGCTAAGTTCCAAGTTTTAGTAGAGAACCTGCCTCAGAGAAATAGGTACAGAGTGATAAAGGAGAACACTCAACCTTTTGTAACTTCTTCTTGCAAACACACACATGGGCATACACTCGAACGAGCACATGTGCATGTAAATTAGTAAGTAAATCTTTTAGAGAGAAGCAACCTTTTTTGGTATTTTTTGAGTCAGAGTCTCCCTGTAGCCCCAACTGGCCTGAAACTGGCTATGTAGACCAGGCTGGCCTTGGACTCACAGAGATCCACCGTCCTCTGCCTCCCAAGTGTCGGGATTAAAGGCATGTGCCACCAGGCCCAGCTTCTACATATTTTTAAGCTAGATCACCCTTTTTCTTACTTACTAGATCATCATGAATCTTAATTGTGAATTTTCTTCTTTTTCTTTTTTCTTTTTTTAATGTATTTGCTGTCATTACTTTTTTTGATTATTTAATAACCATATAATTAAAAGAGGAATTTCATTACAACAGCATCGACATATTACATAACAATTCCCAGAGCTAAGATGCATCTCTTTCAAAGTTGGTTGTAAATTTTTAGGTTTACAGTTGCATTAATACAGTTATACAATATTGTATTCAGTATAAACCCTGTAAGACATAAAATTAAATGAGGTTTTAACCTTTTAAAAAAGATCTCCATTTCATTATTAAAATACACAGTTTCATACAGAAAAATTCATTTTTAATACAATTGACACTAAGATGCACATGTGTTTCTAATCTCTATATCTGATTATTACTAGTCACAGTCGGTTACTTTCTGAGCTCCTTGGCATCTGAGCATGGATATAAAGTCATCAGGTAGATTTCAATGGTAATGTTTTTCACATCTAATTATTAAGGAGCAAATTTTAATGCTTTGAAGAATTATTTTATTTATTTATTTATTTTTTTACACCCAATTCCCAGATAGCACCCTCCCATAGCGTCCCTATCCCCACCAGATTGCTTATACTCTGATATCCCTGCTACTGTCTGCTGTGTTTTTGGCACCCCCAGCT